GAACTCAATCTTAAAAGAATAACTAACAGAAGAGAGGTTGTCACTTTTGTGAAGGTGACGAAAGATCTGTAATATAGAACATGGAGGTCAAAAAATGCTATCTTAAGTAAAAAGAGTTTGATGAACAAAAGTTACAATGGCTGCGGGATGCGAACCCGGATCTCTGCGGCGAATTATCACGTGTCTAACTGATTGAACTATACAATCTTATACTCAAATTTATATCTTATTAAAATTAAAAAACAATATTTTCTAAGATCTATACTTCGAAAAGCGTATTCAAACAGGACTCTAAATACCTTTAAAATCTGCTAGAACTTTAGTAACGTGCACACTTTTAGAAATTATTGAAATAGGTATATTTTATCAGAAATATGCTTAAGCTAAAGCTTATTTTTGAGCCTCTTTTTACTATTTGCTTAAGCATATTCGAACCTGTTTCAAAAATTTCAGCTGCTTTAAAAAAAAAACATGAATATTCCTACACATCAATTTTGGGATTTAAAGATGTTAATTTTTACAATTAAAATTAGTCTGGCAAACAAAATTTCTTTATAGACTTCAAAACGTCGATTAGCGACAATAGTACTTTCGTATGTTGCAAAATAGTTTTGTTTCGTATGTCAACTTGCGAAATGCTAAATTTTGGAAGTGAATTTTGCGAAATGAACATCGGGGATTTTAAATGTTTTGTAACATTCGGTACGAAAAAATGTAATTCCTCGTTCTCAATCTCCTTACGAAAGAATTTTGTTTTTCCGGAATTGCACGAAATCCTCCGGTTAACAACCCTAAATACAACCAGGCTTTTTTGTTTTCTTTTTTGATTTGACCATCACGGTCAGAGTCTTTAACGAAATCAACTTCTTTTGCTTGTTGTAAAAGATTATTTATAACAAGCAAGCAAATTTTATATCAAGGGTACTACCGCTTTTTTTTAGAGTTTCGATACTCCAAATGAAAGCGATATCAATTTTTAGACGAACAGTACCTTTGTATTTTTTAAAATCAGTTTTAAGCTCATCAACAACAGTTTTGATTTCAGTTGATTTGCCCTAAGCATAGTCAAGAAACGGTATGATCTCTGATGTGTCTGCACTCATACTTTTCGTGCGCTTTCAAAGTGTTTTGGTATGCATACAATTATTTCAGCCATTGATTTTCATTAGGTTATCTGCTTTTTTAATTATAAAATCATTAATTATTTATGTTTTCAAGTGTCTTAAGAAATAATTTTCTAGCGTAAGTTACAAGCGCAAAAAACTACATACAAATTAGAGTGAAAATAGGTTTCAGTAAATACAACAACGGAATAAAACTAAACATAAAATTTAAATAAAATATAAAAAAGCGCCCATTAATTTTGATAAGCGGGCAATAATAAAAAAAATAACAATATAGTTTGCAGTTTTGCAATGTATACTGTGTATGCCGCGGCATACGTCATGAACTCAAAGTAAAGGAGCAAATCACAAGTAGTAGAATTGTAATATTAAGTAATTATATTGTAAGCAATGAAACTATTTTATGTTTCTTATAACAGTAGCTTATTACCTTTAATTACCTAAATTAAACTCGCCGAAGCCGAAGCTTCGGCAAAAACTCACCCTCGCTTCGGCCGAAGCTTCGGTACATTCCTAATTAAAATATATAATTCAGTTACATTTAAAAGTAATTTCTTTTTTTATTACATAAATAATATTACAAGTAAAACTTAATTACATAAATTTAATTACTTAAATTCGTAACTGTTACTTAAAAAAGTAATTTATTTTTACAAGTAATTACTAAAATACAAAATACTAAATAGTAAATACTAAAACTACTTTAAAAGTTTTTTCTTCAAAAAGTAAATTACTTTTTCAGGTAAGTCGTTAAAAGGTAATTTTCTCTGAAAAGTAATTTCTATTTTACTTACTCGCGAAACTTTCTTAAACGAAAAAAGTTCTTTTCTGAGATAACGTTATGTAAATGTAATGTTTGAAAAACGTAACACTTACTTTTAAAAGTAAAATAAAAGTACATCATAAAAATAAATTGAACCCGTCATTTCGAAAAGGGCACAAGTCACACTTTTTTCAAGTTTCACTTTTTAATGCAATTTTATTTGTTCAAGTGTTTTACTAATTCCCATTGAAGGAAAAACATTTTCATATGCCACAAGTCAACTTTAAATGCAAATGAAAATTAAAGTCTGTTTGAAAATGGCACAAGTCCCGGACTTATGCCTTTTTCAAGTGAAACAAAGCGCAACTGTAGTGACGTAATTTCACTTTATTTGTAACAAAAATGAAAAATCGCGAACTTGCTAAAAATGCATATAGATCTAGAAAAAGAGTGTCTGGTATAAGAAACAGTGGAAATTATAAACACGAAAAAATAAAAAAAGCCAAAATTGCTGGAAAAGCTCATAAAAACCACAAAGGAAATGATGTGGCATTAAGTCAAACGGGTGCTTCTTGCAGTTTAGTTTTTCGTTATATAGAATATGACTTATTCGTTCTCAAATTTTTGCTTATTTACTCATGTTTTACCACCAATAATTGAAGGTAAAACATCTTGATGTATAATTATTATAATATTACCACAATAATTCTATTTATTTACAGATGTAATTCAAAGTGTATGGAGCTTGCATTTGAAGATTATATAGAAAGTACAATTCAGCTTGTTAACAAATTTGATTGTAAAAATGCCCAAGAAACATACTTGCAGTCATTGAATGAAAAGAAGGAAATAGAAAGAAGACGGTTTTTATCTAAAAAAAAAAGAATTTTCTTTTACGCATTAAGATTGAAGGTCTAATAAAAAAAGTACACAAGAAAGCTTTTTGCTGTATGCATGGAATTTTTATGAAACAAGTTAGACGTTTATGCATTTTATTAAAAAAAAAAGAGCAGCCTATAGATCACCCAGGTAAATCTCAGTGATCACAACGCATATTTTCTGATGGTTGTGCAGGCCAAAACAGAAATCATGCCATGGTCCGAATACTTTTATCACTGGTAGCTGAACTAGATAGCAATATAAGTGAGATACAATATTACATACCAAAATGAGGTCACTCATTTTTGCCAAACAATAGAATGTTTGGAACAGCAAAGCGACATTCGAAAATATGATCGGATTTACCTACCAACAGAGTATGCAAATCTTATAGCTGAAGCAAACAAAAAATTTGAAATTAGAAGGCCCGAAACTGAGGATATTATTGATGCAAAATAATGGTGGCCAAACCATTATAAGAATCTTGTGCTATCTGTGGATTCCTATGGAAAAGGAGTACCCAAGGACAAAAAACTTTCTTTTGGTATTTCTAAAGCCTCACATTTCACATTCTCTAATACCACACCAGGTTTAGCGACAACACGTGAATCCATATATTGCTTAGTCAGTTATAATTTCCAGCTATTACAAAGGATGGGTACCCGGTCATCCTTACTATTAAGTAGTACTTCTGCATATGTTGGAAAAATGCCTATCAATGAAAAAAATATATAAGATTTGAAAAAAATATAAAAATATATTTCATATTCAATAGAAGAGCACCAAAACTTCTATACAAAGGTTTTCGCTTCGCTAATAACTTTGGCAAACAATGAATTCCAAGAAATAAGTGATGATTACCTAACAATAATTGTTTTTATGTAATTACAAATCATTATTATTCTGACAATCTTTGGTTTTTTATATACAAAAAAGCGTTCATTGCGAAAAAGAAATAAGTCCATAAATTTAATTTGAAATATATGTGTCATATATTATTTTTTTATAACAAATAAGACTCTAAAAACTTATATATGACTTTTATTTATCTACTCTTATCTTTAGTTTCTTTAGCACCATAAACTTTTTTTCTAATAAACTTATTTTTGTCGATCCTGAAAAGTTTGATCAAATGGACTTGTGCCCTTTTTGAAATGACGGGTTCAATTACTTACATGTGTAAAAGTAACTTAATAGCAAAGGCAACTTACATAAAAGTAATTTGAAAAAAAAAAAGATTTACTATTCAAAATAAAAGTAAAGTTTTTCTTTTAAGTACTTATTTTACTTAGTAAGTTAGCAAAATGTAAATTACATTATTTACTTTTTCAAAAAATAAAGCCATTTTACAACATTTTTTTAATGTAGGTAGTTTATTAAAAAGCATAAGTTGATTGCTACATCTGGGTTATACTTCTCGGAATTATTTAGATGCGTGTGGGCTGTTTTTGGCGGGGGCATTATAAATTATACTAGTTGGGGCTTATTAGGATGGATTTGTAAAAGTAAGACAGCGACGGCGAGGACCCTTGAGCTATAAAGAGCAAATTATTTTTTCGTTTAGACCGAAAGTAGATTATTGGTCCTATAATGAAACATTTTATTGTGGTCAGGGGAAGGGCATAGTTTTAATTTTTTTGTTACTTTTTAAATTATTTTTTAAGTTTCCCAAGAAGTCTGTACGCTACAGAACCCCACGTAAAAGCATTTAACATCGCTCCTCTGCAAAACTCACCCATTCGTGGTAAACCTTTAATCTTTATGATCAAATATTTATTATTCATTATTTATTTGGTATTGGAGGGGGGGGGGGCGAAGAGCGGTGGAGTGAAGAGAGATAAACTAAATGCTATAAAACGATATCTCCCAGCAGGCACAATGACGTTGAAATAACGTTGAAACAACGTCGCAACGACCATATGCCACGTTGAAACAACGTTGAAATTTGGTGGAATTGGAAACAAAATCCGACGTTGAAAATTACGATGTTGAAACAACGTCGATGATTACGTTGTTTCAACGTTGTTCTTATGTCTTATTGACTACATATCAACCATATTTCAACTTTGAATAGGTGATATATTTGCTTGATACTTAGTCGATAAGACGTTACAACAACATTGAAACAACATAAATTCAACGTTGATTATTGTTTTTTATTTTGGTTAAATCCAATTAACTAAAAAATTATCTCAACTTTAATTGTAACAAAATGACACAATAAAAAGGCCATATTCTGCACAAAGAATATTTTATTTCAAGTAAATTAATCAGATACAATTAAGTTGCTTTAAGGGACTTTACACACAATGCAAATAGAGTAAAATGTTTAAAAAAAAATGTTTTATTCAACAATAGTCCAGAACAATTAGGAAAAAATGTTATACATCTAGTGAATCGCCTTTCACGCGCTAACCACCACCATTCGATCTGTCAAATGCGTATTTTAATAAAGTCATTATTCCTTTTCTTATTTCGGCAACTGTAGTAGTCGCTTTAATTGACATGACGCTCTCTATAAAATAAAAGGTATTGTCTGAGTAATTTGCATAAAATACATAAAAAAATAAGTATAAAACAGCACCAAAGCAACGAACTCTGATTTTTAAAAATATATAGTTTTACACTTGACTTACCAGTAACAAACTTACAAATGTTTGTTCCTTCAAACATTTTTTTTGATTATAAATCATTGGTCAACAACCGGCATATACATTGTAATTATTATAGTTATATTAAAAATTGATAGATTATATATATATATATATATATATATATATATATATATATATATATATATATATATATATATATATATATATATATATATATATATATATATATATATATACACATATATATATATATATATATATATATATATATATATATATATATATATATATATATATATATATATATATATATGTATATATATATATATATATATATATATTTGTATATATATATATATATATATATATATACATATACATGTATGTTTATTTATGTACATATATATGCATGAATATATAGTGTGAAAAAAAGGTTAAGTATGCAAAACAAAACAACTTTTGTACTTTAAGGTTGTTCTTTAGCTCAAGGAAATACAAAAAAAAAATTAAAAAACAAATTCTAATCAGACATAAATAAAAAAAAAAGATTTATTTTATGTCTGATTAGAATTCGTCAAACTTTTAGAAATATTAAGCTAAACTTAACTTTTATAACAAACTATAATAACTAGTTTCAAAAGATTTTTTATTCAAAACTTTTTACTAACCTTTGCATCACATTTTTTGTAAGTGTCTCACCTCTTAATTTAAAAAATTTGTTAACTTAAATGTTTAAGAAAATACACTATTTTTATAGTACATTTAAAAAAAGTTACAAGAAGATTAACTTAAGCAAATACATAATCAATAAAAAAAAAAAAAGTGCAAAAGTAATGGTTTAAAAATGCAAAAAGTAATGGTTTAAAAATGCAAAAAGTAATGGTTTAAAAAACCTACCATTTCAGACAACACCCGTTTAAACTGTTATCATAATCCCTAAAGGGTTAAGAAAATAATTACATTACATTTATTTTTATAGTACATTTATAATAAGTTACTAGTAGATTAACTTTTGCAAATACATAATCCCAAAAAAAACAATAAAAAAGCTGCAAAAAGTCATGGTTTGAAATAACCTACATTCAGATCTCACCCGAAAATCATTTAAACTGTTATCATAACCACTAAATGACTACTGCTAACTCATCCATCAAATTTTAGGACTATTTGTCATGATATTATTTTAATTACTGGAAAGAGCTTTACTTACATCTTTATCATTTCTACCAGTGCATATAAAACTTTCTTCTGAAATTCTATTATATATTCTAAAATAATAAAGATATTACAGGAACACAAAAGAACCAAACATTAATTAATTTCTAAAAGCATCGAAACACACACAAAAAAAAAACTGTATCAAAATATCTATTTATTAAATAAACAAAATTATTGGATTTTCAAAAAATATATATATTTTCTAATGTCTTAAAGATAATTACTTGCTTTTTTTTACTAATTAATAAAACTAGCAGTAAGCAACCCGTAATACGCGTTGTTAGTAAATAAAATTAAAAAAAAAACCGCGTAGAGAAAAGCCTAGAAACTACTTTAAAATGGAAAAGCCTAGAAAATGACGTAATTCGAATAATAATATTAAATTAGCGTATTAGTATTATCAGATGAAAGCATACCAAAATAAATACCAAATATTTCGCATACCTTCCTCCGTAATGGAAGACTTTCCATTTGATGAGGAATCTTTTTTAGTAGCTTTTCTTATGAGGCAAAACAACTTTTTTCTTTTCTGCGGAAAAACACATGCACCATCTTGGATTTGGACTATATAAAAATCCTCTCCTTCCTCAGGAAAATCTTGTCATTGCTGATCTAAATATCTTTAAGATATTTAGATCAGCAATGTCAAAAAAAAAGTCAACAATAAAAAAATAATTTTAAAACACTCATAAAATGAATAAAATATATTATTTAGCAACAAATAAAATGTGTAAACTACTGAAGCATTGAAAAAAAACATTTGAATCTTTTCTTCCTAAAACAATTTGCAGACAGACAATCAATACCTTGAGCTTTGTATGCATAGACAATCAATACCTTGTGCTTTGTATGCATAAAAGTTGTTTTGTTTATCTTTTTTTGCGTTAAAGGAGTAAGTACTTGCTTACTAATCTGTTGGTTATTTTTGGTTGGATTATTTTTTCTCTTGCATAAGAATGGTAGTGGTTCCTATAATAAATAATATCAAAATAAAACTAGTAGTACTTGAATAAATTTTAACTTAAGTATAAATCTTTTAAAATAGTTCTATCTAAGTTACACAAGTAGTAGCAAATTCAAAATTATCACATAAATCATGATCTAAGAATAATCATTCATTTTAAAACTATGTTTTAAATATATTATATAATAAAAAATATATCTTAAATACTAAAAACAACATATACATATAAAGAGCATTTTAAAGAAGAAAGGAAAAAATGTAATGACTTGATGTTTATAAACAAAATTATATTATCTACACAACATTTAATTTTGAGCAGCTTAAATCTGTGTTAGTTAGACTGCGGTTCATGAATTTCATTTAAACAATCTATTACAGTTAATGATGATGGCTAACACAAAAAATTATCAATCGTATTTTGTCTCTCTATTTCTCTCTATTTTCTATCCAAACAGCTCGAATGTACATTTTACTTGCCCTACTATACTTTTAAATTTGAAAAGTTTATTTGTACAAACAACACCTTTTATTCTCACACATAAAATATTTGTTAATGTAAAGTATCTAATAGAAAATTACAACTTGAACTTATACATTATATATTTGCCTAGCAAAAATTATATTTGAAATTAAAGTGTTAAAATGTTTTAACTATGGGCCTGCGAAGTTTTGAAATTTCGAATCAAATCAAATCAAAAGTATCATTCAAGTTATTTTTGTTTTTGTTGTGAGTATTTTAGATATTCTGGGTTTTGGCGCTATCAAAATAACGTTACTTATCCTTAAATACATTTTTAATCAGTCATTAAAAAAATTAACCAGGGCAAACATCATCAATAAAGAGATTATACAATTGTTTTATTTATTTTATTCTGAAATATATATTGTTAAATAAAAAATGCTCCAATTAAGACTTCAAAATGTTAATTCGAAATGTGATTGGAGTTGCGAATCAAGGCCTGCTTTGATTCGAGATTCAATTCGAAACAAAAACTGCCAACTCGCAGGGCACTAGTTTTACTATAAATCTTTAAAAAGCCTTTAAAAGTACTATTTTCTTTAAAATAAAAAAATTTATAACAATTACTTTTAAAAATAATTTGATATAAAATTAAGATAATTTTTTGGTAACTCTTTTTTTAGAAATCATAACAAGCTTATTTTAAGAATTAAACTTAAGGATTAAATCAATACAAACTTAAATTTGTTTACTAACACATGATATCAAATTATATATATATATATATATATATATATATATATATATATATATATATATATATATATATATATATATATATATATATATATATATATATATATATATATATATATATATATATATATATCATGGACTAAAGGTGCAAGCACAAATCCATTTTTATGCAATATGCATATAACTTTGCAGGAAAAATCTGCTTTATTTATTATAGATTTGTCAGACAGATATTTTTTTTTGAATATGAACAATATTCAAACTCTTTGAATCACATGGTTGTTGAAAAGCGATAAATCTGCAGTTGAGCAGCCTAAAATAATTTTAATTTTTCGCTTGTTACAATCTCGCATGAAAAGGAAGTGCTACTACATCAACTGAGGGTTTGGCATGGGGTAGCAATCTTTTTTCTTTCATTGTTTCTAATAATATTTTGATGGTTTAAAAAATCTCTAATGACAAGAGCGTAAGAAGCAAAAAAATTAAAATTATAATATAAAGACGCGAAATCGCTCGTCTTTCTGTGAAAGCCTGCTATGTATGTTAGTATATTTAACTATACTAGTTTTATATTATATAAATTTATAATATATATTTTATATTTATAAACTTATATTATATATATATATATATATATATATATATATATATATATATATATATATATATATATATATATATATATATATATATATATATATATATATATATATATATATATATATATATATATATATAATATAAATTTATAACTATAATATAAATTTATAAATATAAAATATATATTATATATTTATATAATAAAAAACTAGTATAGTTAAATATACTAACATACATAGTAGGCTTTCACAGGAAGACGTGCGATTTCGCATCTTTATATGACCACGCAAGTTACATTTTGCTATAACGGTTTGACCGCGGCTAATTAAAAAAAAAAATTTTAGAAATGCGCTAAATAAAAAAATTCTAAAAAAGTTAAATTAATTACATCAAAACTTTTTAACAAATGTTTTTATATTAGCGAAACGATTTTAAATAAAGAAACAATTTACTGAAAAAAAGTTTTGTTTTTTAAATATAATTGACAGTTGTATATATTTTTTTAATTTGAAACATATAAATTGTTTAAGTGTTCATTTCTAAAATAAATCTTATTAAAAACTAAAAATTTATTTTGTTTTTATAAACAATGACATTCTACCACTACGAAAGTCTCTTTAACGAATTTAAATATAAGAATGATTAAAGTTAATTCATTTTAAAAGATAAACAAAATTTTGTTAAAAAAAAATTTATAGAAAACCGTTACAATTTAATAAGTTTGATCTTAAATGCTTTTATATTATCGAAACGCTTTTAACGAAGTAAAAAAAAAAAAAAATCACTTTTATTTAATTAAAAAAAAAAGTATTAATGAAATATTTTTTTTATTTTATATATATAACTATGTATTTTTTAAGAGAAATATTTAGCTTTTGAACATATGAAATAAATAAAAAATATATAAAAATGTTAAAACAAAGATTGAAAAGGTTTTTTAATGCGTAAATTAAATAGACTAAGCATTTTAGTTTGATGAGTTTTGTTTTAGTTGCGTAAGTTTTTGTAGCACGTTTTTAAATTTTAAAAATATGCCGTTGTCTAATCGTGAAAACATTTTTTTTTGCGTGGTCATATAAAGACGTGAAATCGCACGTCTTCCTGTGAATTCACAGGAAGACGTGCGATTTCACGTCTTTATATGACCACGCAAAAAAAATGAAGCAACATGATTTGCAACATTAGGCAATAAAACATTGAAGCTACATGAACTACTGAAAAGACATCATTTAGCCATTTTTTTTAAATTTTATTAAATGGTTTTTCTATGCTTTCATGAAATCATAGAAAAACCATTTAATAAAATTTTTAAAAAATGGCTAAATGATGTCTTTTCAGTAGTTCATGTTGCTTCAATGCTGCTTCTATTACTCTATTCAAGACTAAGATTTTATAAATAGTTTTTTAAAAAAAGTTAGTTTTCATTTGGGTAAAAGTTGTTATTAATACCCAGCCGGCAAATAACGTTGAAATAACGTTGAACTATCGTTGAAACCTAACGTTGAATTTACGTTGATTTAACGTTTCGAATGAAAGTTTTTTTTAACGTTGATTTATCAACGTTAAATCAACGTTAGATTCAAACGTTCTATTAACGTTGATTCGACGCAAAAAAACGCTACAATAACGTTGAATTAACGTTGACTCAACGTTTAGAATGAAAGTTTTTTCAACGTTTTTTTTTCAACGTTAAAACGACTGTTAAAACACTTTTTCACCATCAAAACGTGCTATGTCAAAATGTATATATGTAAGTAAACGTGCTATGTGCAGCTAAATGTGATCACCATCAAAACGTACTATGCATGTACATTAGTGTTGTTGTGCATTATCAAGGTATATAATGGGTATTAAATCTATTCGTAGTCTATACTTATAATATTTAGAACTTTTTTAGTTTAGTTTGGTTAAAATAGATAGGTATTTTTAAAGAAAGAGATAAAACTTGTTTGATTGAAAAATATATCAAAATATTACATATATTTACATATAATTGAATAAAATCTATACAAAATTCTTCTCTTTTCCACCACCTTTTTGAATAGAGCGTAATTTAGAAAGTCAAACAATGTTCTACTAACCGAGGTTTCTTTTAGTTCATTGAATACAATAGAAGAAGCTGTAAATAAAAAAAAAATGTATAAAAAAATCAAAATGGGAAGGTTTGAAAAAAATATGAATGGAAAACTGTTACAACTTATGAAGGTATATCTTTTTCAACGCCATATAGATTAGTGTTCTTAAAACATATTTTTCCACTTTTGCCTTTCATATCCATTGAGGCCATAAGAGGATTTTTTCTGTTATGCGTCGGTTAAAAGACTCTATGAGAACTACAATGTCAGAAGATCAACTTAACGGTTTGGCATTAATGTATATCCATCAAGAAATTGTTCCTTGTATTGATAATGTTATCAATAGATTTTCTATAAAAAAATAGACGACTTGGATTCTATCATTAGTGTCTATACTGTTTATTCTATAACACACCAACAACTTTTGAAATTTTTGTCTATTATCACCTCTCTTCATATAACAGCTAACAAATAGGCATGGAAACCTCTGGAAAGGCCAAGACTTCAATAGTGTCCTTAACAGGACGGGTTAAATGTAACCTCATACTTTTGTTTGGGATTAGCTATATGTTTAGTGATCATAGTTCAGACAAACATTAACCATATCTTTTTGACCATTGGCAAACATTAACCATCTCTTTTTGAGGCAAACATTAACCATCTCTTTATATCATTTTCTAGCAACAAAATTAAAAATAAAAAAAATATTTTCAATAAATTTTCTCTCAATCAACCTAATAATATTCATAAGTTTTTGTGCCATTTAAATCAGTTTTTTGCTGTAGTTGTCAAAACCATTAGCTTTCATTTTATTCCATCAAAAATGATCTTTTTTATGTTGTTAAAGCTTAACTTGGTATGTCCTTTTTTTTTTTAATCTTGTTTTATAAGAATATATATAAATTTTTATTTCACGATGTATATAAATCCATTTGTATTTTTGTCTTTCTCTTTTCAGTTCTTAATTTTTCTTTCTCTGATTGTCCATGTCCGGAATAAATATGTTCCTAGACATGCTGATGAGCCCTGATATTGGGCGAAACAATCATTTGTTGGTTTATATATTTATTATATATTTATATAGAAAAAAAGTTTCAAAGTAAAACTAAGATAT